GTCCCGCCACTTACCAGCTTTATAATGCTTGCCCTCTCTGGTGTCCATTTCCTCATCTGTAAAACGGAGATAAAAGTGCTTACTGGGCTTCCCTGGTGGCGCAATGGTTGAGAGTCCGCCTGCCAATGCAGGGGACACGGGTTCGTGCCCCGGTCTGGGAAGATCCCACATGCCGCGGAGCGGCTGAGCCCGCGAGCCATGGCCGCTGAGCCTGCGCGTCCGGAGCCTGTGCTCCGCAACGGGAGAGGCCACAACAGTGAGAGGCCCGTGTACCACAAAAAAAAAAAAAAAAAGAAAAAAAAAGTGCTTACTTCTTGGGAATTCCCAGGCGGTCCAGTGGTTAGGACTCGGTACTGTCGCTGCGGGGGCCTGGGTTCAACCCCTGGTTGGGGAAATAAGATTCTGCAAGCCGCACAGCACAGCCAAGAAAAAAAACGTGCCTACTTCTTAAGGGTGTTGTTTAGATTTCAGTGATCTGAGGATATATACTATCTAGCCCCACAGAATTTTGTTCTCTAGAGAGCAAAGGCTCAGGTATCTGCATGAGTGGTCCCTGAGAAGTGGCACAGCAAATGGGGAAGGACCAGTAGGAGGATCTTGCAGCATGGGAGCCATTGTGAATTCTTAGATCCCTAGAGACTCAGAGAGAGAGAGGTGCTGTGAGAGAGGGGTGTCCTCAGAGTCTGGGGGACAGCACTTTATAGTTCACAGACCTTCTCTTCCACAGTCTCAGCTACTCTTTGTTTTTTTTTTTTTTTCTGGCTGCAGCGTGAGGCATGGCATGCAGGCTCTTAGTTCCCTGACAAGGGATGGAACCCATGCCCCCCTGCAGTGGAAGCACGGAGTCTTAACCATGGGACCACCAGGGAAGTCCCTCAACTACTCTTTTTGGAGTTGCCAGGGGGAATCTCTTTTAACACCGTCAATACTCAGCTGAACCTTTAGTACTGACCTCTTGGGGTTCTTTGAATAAAATCCTGACTCTGCCAAGGCCTCTGGGGCCCAACCTGACCTGGCTCCTGCCTTTTCTCACCTGCCATTCTCTCCCTTGCTCATCATATTCCAGCCACACTGGCCTCCTCTCTGTTCTGGGAAAACCACCCCACCACACCTGCCTCAAGACACCTTTATGCTTGCTGTTGCCTCTTTCTTTTCTTTCTTTTTCTTTTTTTAATATTTATTTACTTATTTGACTGCGCCAGGTCTTAGTTGCAGCACACAGGATCTTCGTTGCTGCGTACGGGGTCTTCATCGCGGCATGCAGAATCTTTAGTTGTGGCATGCAGACTCTTAGTTGCAGCATGTGAGATCTAGTTCCATTACCAGGGATCAAACCCGGGCCCCCTGCATTGGGAGCGTGGAGTCTTAGCCACTGGACCACCAGGGAAGTCCCTGCTGTTGCCTTTTTCTAGAAGGTTCTATGCCCAGCACTTGCCCTGGTTGGCTGCTTCTTTAGGTCTCAGTTCCAATAGCCTTTCCTTGATGCCCCCTAAAGTCACCCACTTCCTGTCACATCTCCTCAGCCCTCACTATCTAAAATTATTTTGCTAGTTTACCTCATTCGTGTATTCATCAAATATTTATTTATTTATTTATAAAAATTTATTTATTTATTTATTTATTGGCTGTGTCAGGTCTTTGTTGCTGCGTGTGGGCTTCGTCACGGTGCATGGGCTTCTCATTGCGGTGGCTTCTCTTGTTGCGAAGCACGGGCTTTCGGCACGCGGGCTCAGTAGCTGTGGCTCGTGGGCTCTAGAGCTCAGGCTCAGTAGTTGTGGTGCATGGGCTTAGTTGCTCTGCGGCACGTGGGATCTTCCCAGACCGGGGCTCGAACCCATGTCCCCTGCATTGGCAGGCGGATTCTTAACCACTGTGCCACCAGGGAAGCCCCTCATCGAATATTTATTGAACTCATAGTATGTGCCAGACACTAGAGATATACTGGTGAACAAGATAAAAGTTTTCCAATAGCTGTAGCCCCTAGTACTAGTTTAATAAGTATTTGCTGATTAAATGAATGGATACAACAATCTTATAAAGAGGAGTTCTTAGCCTTGTTTCCATGTGAGGTCATGACTTGTATGTGATGGAGCTGGATTTGAACCTGGACCTGACTTCCCTCCAAGTACCTTCCCTCCTGCCCCCCACTCTTACTGCCCTCACCTGTGACTAATTCTGTTCTCCCCCCTGCCTGGTGATCCAAGAGAGTCGCTGAGTCACAGAGTGAGACCAGTGAGAAGAATCCTGGGCTGGAGGAGGGAGAGGTCTGTGTTGAAGGCCTGCCTCTGTTTGTGTGACCTTGGCGAGTTAGTGCTTTTATGGCTGTTGATGTTACATTACTGAAGTGGGAAGATAATCCTTTGGAACGTCTGGGGCTGGACAGACACGTGAGGGGTTGTTAGCACCAGCCACTGTGATTCCGCTCTGGACATCTCCCCGGCTTCCCAGCACTGTGTCCTGGGCTGGCTCCTGCTCCTCCAGGGACCTCTGCCAGTGTGTCCTTGCCATCCGCCCAGGCAGTCCTGGGCTTCTGCCTGGCTGCTGCATGCTGTGAGCCCCTTCCCCAGGGAATCACCCTCAGCAGCCAGGAGGACTTGGGGGTGGGCACCATGCCAAGTCTAGTCTAGTGGCTCTTCCACCCACCATCTGGCAGCCGGCACCCTTGCCTTAGCTCTGGCTCGTGACCGTTTAGAAAAGGACTTGGAGACAGGGGTAGTGGGCTGCCCCTGGAATTGAGTATCTTTGGCCCTCCTAGTCATCCTTTGCACAAGAGCCGAGCACCCAGAGACTCCGTGCCTCAGTTTCCCTGTCGGAGTCTGGGAAGGTGCCTGCTCCTGCCCTGCACTCGAGGGGCGGGGTCGGTGGATGGGCGGGAGCAGTGGTGAAGGTGGGAGGAGGACCTGGAGAGTAGCCCCTCCCCCTCCTCTGCCTGGAGCCGGCGCTCTGCGGCTGGGCGGGCAGACTCATCCCCTCAGCGCTGGGTTATGGTGAAGGCATCGCCCGGCGTTCTGGAGAGGTCAACGTAGGGGACGGTCCGAGTGGCGTCGGCAGTCATGGTGGTGTTCCTGGGCCGCCACCTCCCGGCGCTCCTCGGGCTCTTCAAGAAGAAGGGTGAGTGGGTGTGGCTGTGGGGGAGATAAGAGATCTCCGACACCCCCATTTGCCAGACCCTTACGTAGAATGGGGGAATCAAGGCCGGGGAAGGCAGTGGGGTGGGGGATGCGGGCTGGTAATGAGGCCAGACTCCCCTGTCCGCCACGGTGCCTTTGTCCAGCAGCTTTCCTACTGCCTTTGTTTGATTTCTGCTTGTGTTTCAGAGGATGGCTCTAGGTGTCTCTGACCTTGAAGCCCGCAGTCCTCGGGCAAGATTGCCTTCCTCCAGGGGTACTCACGCTTTACTGGGTACATCCCAATACCTCAGTTCCAAGAGGTAGTGCACCCCCTCCCGGGTCAACTCAGTGTGTGTGTGTGAGGATGGGATGTGGGGAGCAGAGTAGAAAGGAAAGTAGTGCCCCTGGAAGTTGGGGAGCAGATCAGGAAAATCGTGTTTAGAGGCCTGGGGGTGAAGTTTTGAGGGGAGGGGCCTATCCCCTCCTCCTCCTAGGAACTGGGCTTTCAGGCCTGGATTAAGATGTGGGGGCCAGAGGGCCCCCAGTTTGAGTGTGATTCAGGAGTCCCCTCGGGAAACCTGGAGTTTAGTCTTGGCTCTGACTCCGATTTGCTGGGTGACCTTAGGCAAGACCTTTCCTCTTTGAGCCTCTTTGTGGACTTGTAAAATCAGGAGGTCGGGGAGAGGAGGGTCACTGAGAGACCTCCTAGCTCTGACCTTGTGGGATTCCTGAGGATTCCCTGGGCGGGAGCTTGGCTGTTGAAGAATGCGCTGAGGAAGGCGGAATGGGCAGTTCAGGTGTCTGAATTGAAGATCCTGATCTTGGGGCGTGGCCCTTTAAAGGGCTTGTTTTGTTCCTGTCCCTCCACAAGGTGCTGCCAAGGTCACATGACCCTGCCAGAGCTTTTGCTTATGTTGTGGGTTCCGTTTAAAGGGGGGCTGGGGCTGCAAAGTGCTGACACAGCCCCTATTCCCAGGATTAGATGCCCAGCTCCTCCATGGGCAGGGCCTGTAACAATATCCTTTGTAATGGACCCCAGGCTCCTCTGCACCAGGGCCCTGGGCCTCCAGGAGAGGGGGATACCTGGGACTGTTCCCCAAAGAGAGGCTGGAGCTGCCTCAGGGGGAGTGGAGTGGCTGGGGTCCCTCTTCTCCCCTCCCCAGCCTATCCTTCCACGAAGGGACAGCTGCGTGGGTGATTAGGGGACCCAAGTGGCCATATCCTTGGCTTAGCCCACACCCCAGGACTTCCTGGGAATCTGGTTATGACCTTTGCTAGTGCCCACCCCCTTCCTAGTGTCCCATGTGTCTTTTTCTTGGGGTGTACAAAGAGGTGGTTTGTCTTCCTGTAAAGTGGAGCTCAGGATCTGGAGACAAGAGAAATGTATTTGCTATGGGCTGTGTGTACACTGGAGTGTCTTGCATGGGGCCCTGAGTGACAGTTGTGTGTATATTTGGGTACTGTTTGTGTATATACAGACTGGGGACTGTGGGTGTCATGTGTATATGTGGTGGCTGGGTGTGCTCTTGGTTTTACTTGGATGCTATGTGTTTGTATACATACTGAATGAAGCCTGTGGGTGTTGTGTGCATATATGGTGGGCATGTGTGCCTTGGGTATGGTGCCCTGTATGGGGCCCTTTGTGTGGTGTGGGTGCTCAGATATATGTACACTTGGATTATAGCTTGTGTATGTACTTGGGGGCTGTGTATATTGAGTGTATACCCCAGGACTGTGGGTTGTGAGTACAGACTGGGGGAAGTAGGCACTGCATGTATGTGCAGGTGCCCTGTGCACTCTGGGGACTGTGGGCGCCCTTGTTGCAGTGCCTGTGCCTTCCCAGGGCCCAGATACCTTTGGGCCTCACTTTCCTTCCTCCTCCATTCCCAGCAGGCTCTGCCAAGGCTGAGAGTGACAAACGACTAAGTGTGGGGCCAGGCCAGGGGCTAGGGTCTGCAGTGGATGAGCACCAGGACAATGTCTTCTTCCCCAGTGGGCGACCGCCTCACCTGGAAGAGCTGCACACGCAGGCCCAGGAGGGGCTCCGTTCCCTCCAGCACCAAGGTAACCTCCTCCTCTTCTCTCCAGCGCTACTTTCAGCTCCCAAACTCAGGGGCCTAGCTCAACATACCTTTCTGATGCCTTTCAGAAAAACAGAAACTGAACAAGGGTACCTGGGACCATGGAGACACACAGAGCATCCAGGTGAGCCCTGCCCCCAGCTCAGTCTTGATGTATTCCTCTCTCCCTGCTTGACCTCTGACAAGTATGTCTTTGAACCCTTCTGGATCTGTTTCCTTTCTGTATCATGAAAGGCTAGACGAGATGCCCCCGAGGGCTGGTCCAGGGTAGCTCTAGCTGATGCCTGCTCAGTGCTAGGTGATGCTGGGGCAGGTCGGTGGGGGGTGAATCTGAGTCAGAAGTTACAAAGGGGAGCCTGAGGAGGCAAAGGTAAGCCCCACTCACGCCTCTGGGCTGATCCTTCTTCCCCCAATAGTCCTCCCGGACCGGACCAGATGACGATAGCATCTCCTTCTGCAGCCAGACCACGTCCTACACAGCTGAGAGCTCCACGGCAGAGGATGCTCTCTCCGTCCGCTCTGAGATGATCCAGCGCAAAGGTATCCACTCACCAGCCAGGATTGTTGGGCAGGAGAGGGGGTGGTGGGCACCCAGCACCTGCAGCTTTCCCTTTTCCTCCTAATCTAGTGTTTCCCAAGACTGTGATTCAGTGGATTCAGGAAACATAGTACTCTGTGTCCTCTTGGAGGTTCATAATGAGCATTAACTGAAAAGCAGGACAGTGAAGAGTTGAGAAACCTGGTTTTGAGCCTAGTGTTGCTATTTACAGCTGTGTGATCTTGGGCCAACCCTTTACCTCTCTGTTTGATGTTCTAGAAAAATGAGGATAAGAATACGTACCTTATTGGAATGAATGCCAAGTGTTTAGCATGCTAACACATTTAATAAGTGTTCGCTAAATGGAAATCATCATTATTGACCTAGTAAAGCCTTCCAGAAGGCTTGCAGAAAAGTGTCTAGCTTTGTTTGTTGCCCATGCCTACTTGACTGTGGAAGTCTTTTCTCAGAGTTCTTATTAATATTCTATAAAAGTTGTGCTCTGCAGAATGTGCCCCAGACCTGCTCTAACAGTTTCTCTCCCTGGACTCTGCCCGCAGGCTCCACCTTCCGACCACATGACTCATTTCCCAAATCATCTGGAAAGTCAGGGCGTCGGCGGCGGGAGCGGCGGAGCACGGTGCTGGGACTTCCACAGCACGTGCAGAAGGAACTCGGTGAGCGCCTGATGAGGAGGCTGTGGGCGGGCAGCCCTGGCCGCCCCCTCTGCTGACCATCCCACGCCCTCCTTGTCTATTCCAGGCCTGCGGAATGAACGTGAGGCACCAGGTACTCCTCGGCCTCCCGGTCCACGGGACGTTGTACGCATCCCCACGGTGGATGGCCATCCGGCAGGCCCGGCCTCAGGGCCAGGGGCCAGGGTGTCCCTGCAGGCGCTGGAGGCAGAGGCTGAAGCCGGTGCCCAGGCAGAGGCCATGCTGCAGCGCCACATCGACCGCATCTACCGGGATGACACGCTCGTTGGCCGGTCCACGGGGGCCCGGCCCTTGCCACTGACCCGGCCCATGTCCCTAGCAGTGCCCGGACTGACCGGAGGGGCAGGGCCTCCAGAACCCCTGAGCCCGGCCATGTCCATCTCGCCCCAGGCCACCTACTTGTCGAAGCTGATCCCGCACGCCGTGCTGCCGCCCACAGTGGACGTGGTGGCCTTGGGCCGCTGCAGCCTGCGCACGCTGAGCCGCTGCAGCCTGCTCTCATCCAGCCCGGCCTCCATCCGCTCGCTGGGCCACTTTTCCTCGGTCTCCAGCCCGCGGCCCCGCAGCCGCCACCCTTCCTCCTCCAGTGACACCTGGAGCCACTCTCAGTCCTCTGAGACCATTGTGTCTGACGGCTCTACCCTCTCCTCTAAGGGTGGCTCAGAGGGCCGGCCAGAGAGCTCTGTGGCCAACAGTAACGTGGCGCCCCCTCCCCTGGGGGGCAGCGGGAGGGGCTCTCCCAGCGGGGGCAGCACTGCCGAGGCCTCGGACACTGTTAGCATTCGGAGCGGTGGCCAGTTGTCCAGCCGGAGTGTGTCCCTACGGAAGCTGAAGCGGCCCCCGCCACCTCCCCGCCGGACCCATTCGCTCCATCAGCGCAGCTCAGCAGCACATGATGGGCCCCTGGGGCTGCCTCCCAAGCCCGAGCGGAAGCAGCAACAGCTGCCCCGGCCGCCCACCACTGGCGGCGGGTCAGAAGGGATGGGGGCAGCACCCTGTCCATCCAGCTCAGCAGGCAGCTGGGTGCCTGGCTTGTCTCCAGGTGGCTCCCGGCGTCCCCCACGCTCCCCAGAACGGACACTCTCACCCTCCAGTGGATACTCGAGCCAAAGTGGTACCCCTACCCTCCCTCCCAAGGGTCTAACAGGGGCCCCTGCTTCCCCAGGCAAGGCCCAACCCCCTAAACCAGAGCGTGTCACTTCACTTCGATCTCCCGGGGCCTCAGTCTCCTCCTCCCTCACGTCTCTATGTTCTTCCTCCTCTGATCCGGCGCCCTCAGACCGCTCTGGTCCGCACGTGTCGACCGCCCTGGGTGACAGGTTTGTCATACCTCCTCACCCCAAGGTGCCTGCCCCCTTCTCCCCACCTCCCTCTAAGCCCAAGAGCCCAAACCAAGCTGCCCCTGCTCCAGCTGCCCCTGCTGTGGTCCCTGGGCCCATCTCTACCACTGCTGCCAGCCCTGAGACCCCACCTACTCCCCAGACATCCCTAACCCCGCCTCAGGCAGCTCCCGGTGCCTCCAAAGACCAGTCGCCCCCACCATCCCCACCCCCATCTTATCACCCGCCCCCGCCACCCACTAAGAAGCCAGAGGTGGTTGAGGAGGCCCTGTCTGCCCCAGAGACTGCTGAGGAGGCCCTCCAAGATCCCACCTGGCCCCCACCCCCGCCTCCTGCACCGGAGGAGCAGGACCTGTCCATGGCTGACTTCCCTCCACCCGAGGAGGCCTTTTTCTCTGTGGCCGGCCCTGAGCCTGCAGACCCTTCACAGCCCCCGGAGCCCTCCTTAGCTACTGTCTCTTTCCAGAGCCAGCCCTGTGGTACTCCAGATCTTCCTCCAGCTCTGCCAGCCCCATCTGTTGCTGGTTCTGTCCCAGGGCTTCAGGCCAAGGTCCCTCGGAGGGAACCAGGGGGCTGCAGCAAGGGTGGCGGCCTTCCCAGGGAGGATGCTGGTGCACCCCTGGTCACACCCTCACTCCTGCAGATGGTTCGGCTGCGCTCTGTAGGCACTGCCACAGTGGCTCCGACTCCAGCATCAGGGCCGTCGGCCCCCCAGAAGCCACTGCGAAGGGCCCTGTCAGGGCGGGCCAGCCCAGCGCCTGCCTCTTCAGGGCTCCACGCTGCTGTTCGGCTCAAGGCCTCCAATCTGGCTGCCAGCGTGGGCCCTGTGAGTGACCAGCCCAATGGACCACCTGAGGCAGAGCCGTGGTCCCCTGCCTCTACGGCCAGCTTCATCTTCTCCAAGGGCACCAAGAAGCTGCAGCTGGAGCGGCCCGTGTCCCCTGAGACCCAGGCTGACCTCCAGCGGAACCTGATAGCTGAACTTCGGAGCGTCTCAGAGCAACGGCCACCCCAGGCCCCAAAGAAGCCACCTAAGGCCCCCCCGCCTGTGGCCCGCAAGCCTTCTGGGGGAGTCGCCCCCCCCACCTCCCCCAGCTTTCCTCCGGCTGAGCCCCTTCCTGCTCCTCCCACCAACGGGCTCCCCCATGCCGAGGACAGGACTAAGGAGGAGCTGGCAGAGAATGGAGGTGTGCTGCAGCGGGTGGGTCCAGAGGAGAAGCTGGGCCTGCCTGGCACAGGTACGGTGGGCAGGGAGGGGTGGGGTGTGGGTCCCATCACTGGTAATGGGAAACAGGTATCAGAAGTCCTGCCATTAGGGATTTGCTCTTGGATTCTGGTCTCGGGGTGCCTGTCACCTCTGATGAGCTGCACTGAAGGAGCATGGATGGTGGGGCTTTGGAGTCAGACCTACTGAAATTTGAATTCCAACTTTGCCATTTTATCTACCCATCCTAGCCTCGGGTTCCTCACTGTAAAGTGTGAGGCAACGATACATTATAGTGGCAGAGGGAACGTTTGTAAAATGTCCAGCCCAGTGCTGCTGTCGTGGTCAGTAAAGTGAGGGGGTGAGGATGCGCCCTGGGCTCTCAGTGGTCAGAACCAAGCTAGGGGGTCCCTTGCTGAGTATCCCTTCTTTTCTCTCCACAGACCCACAGAAAGAGCTGGTCTGACCACCAGGCACCTTGCTGGCACTGCTGACCCATCCCAGGAATACAATCTCAGGGACCTGAGCGGCTCCAAGGATGAGAGGATACGGCAGACACTTAACCTAATAGGGAGGACGCCTGCAGCCTTAACCTCCACGGCCTTCAATATTTACACAAGCCTGGTGTGGCTCCTGTCCTCCAAGTCATCCGGCTCTCATGCCTTTTCCTGAATGGATTCACCTCTGGCAGCTGCCGCTTCAGTCGTGGCCTTAGCCTCATCTTGAAGGAGGTAGCTGGTGGGAGTGGGTGTCTGTGCCCCCTGCTGGCCTCAAGGCCACAGAATTGGGAACAGAACACCTGACTTGAGGTTTTTTTTTTTTCCTTTTTTTTTAAATGTCCAAATCATGCACATGCTGTAGTCCAGAATCAAAGCACTTTTGAAAAGTGGCTGCATGTCCATCCTCCAGGGCCCGCGAAGCCACATTCCAGGGGCCTGTTTACATGGCAGCAGCATCAGTCCCCAGTAGCCAGCCCATGGCTGGGACTCATCTGTCCCCCTCCTCCGATCCAGTTTGCAACTTTTCTTAGTTCTTGGAGGTAGGCAAGTCGTTGTATTCCCACAGGCTTCTCCAGGCTGGAGGCAGGAGTGGGGCTGTGGAATTCCAAAGCACAAAAGGTGCAGTGGGGGTTAGCCCTCCTGTGCCTCAACTTACCACCAACCAGCCTCCTACCTTCTGGTTCTGCCAGGTGCTCCATGCAGGGGACAGGAAGTGGGAGACTGCCAGGGCCCAAATGGGTGGGGGAGAAAGAACCAGAGGGGAGGTCCACAGGCTCTCTCTGTCCTGAGAGAGTGGGAGAACAGAGTAGAGAGTCACGTCATGGGGCACTTGGCCCTGTTTTACTTGATCAGGTTGGGGTGGGTGGGCACGACTCTTCAGAGGCCGGAGCCGCAGGCCATGGCAAAGCTGGGTTCCTGTCAGCTCGACAGGAAGTACTGAGGACATGGATGGAGGGGTGGGTCTGGCAGGGAAGAGCCTATTTGGGCAGTGGGCCCAGACCCGGCCCTATGGATTATATCCTCTGACCTTTACTCTGCTCTGAGCATGTCCTTTCTGCAGCTGCCTTTCAGCACAGGTGGTTCCACTGGGGAGAGCTGACGCTGAGTGACAGGATGGGAAGCCAAAGAGGTGCATTCTATGACAGACTCTTCCCTAGTCAATGAGGGGGAACTCAGCGCTCCTAGGGGCGGGCTGGGTGGTTCCCCCCTAGACATCAGCCTCTGCTACTGATCTCTCCTCCAGGAATTTTGCTGACCTTCCCACTTTCAACCTGTGCCACCTATCTCGGTAAGCTGGTTTCCTCACTGGCCCCGGTGGCTCCACGGGGGTGGCCCTAGTGCCTCCTTCCACTGCAGCATGGCTGTCACCAGGTCACCCCTTCTGTCTTGATCCTCTTTCCTCAACGGTGACTCAGGCTTGAGCCGGGCAAGGGACCTTGCTTTTAGCTGCTTCTCCTCCACCCAGGAGAGAGGTTGACCCCCTCCCAGAAAAAGAGCTGGGAACACAGGGGATGTGGTCTGAGATCCCAGGTTCCTATGGCCCTCTCTCACTATTCTCTTCTCTCTGTAGCTATAAACCAATGTTCTTCCCTGCCCTTTGGGTAATGGAGAGCTGCTGCTGGGTATGTGTTGTGCCTGCCCAGTGAGTTGGGGAAAGAGGACAGTCAGTAAGCCCTCCTCTGCTCAGAGCTCCTGATTCAACCCCCCGGGAACTGGGAACCAGAAACCAGGACCAGGCCAAAGCTTCCATGACACCAGGCCCTGGCAGCAGCCTCGGAGCTGCTGGAGGTAGGAGGGAGCCCACCTTCTGTGTTTCTTTCCCTCCCCTTCCTATGTTACTGGAGCCCCTTGTCTTCAGTTAAGACTCCTCTGAGCTTGTTTTCCCACTGGGTGGAACAGAGTAGAAAGGAGAAGGGAGGACCTCCAAGAGGCAAATCCTTTTGTCCTCTTGGGTAAATGAGCTTGCCCTAGTGCACATGGAGACCAAAAGCCTCTGATTTTTAATTTCCATAAAAATGTTAGAGAAGTGTGAGTGTGTGTGTGTGTGTGTGTGTGTATACACATATATATATATGTGTATACACACACACATATATATATATATTTCTTTAAGTTTCTGAGTCTTTGATATGTCTATACAAACAATCTATTCCCTCTGCTCTGAAGCTAGAGTGATACACATGGAAAAAGCTCTGTGTGGGTTTCATTCGAAGATGTTAATTAATTAAATGATTAAAACTTGGCTGTGGCTGCTGCTTCTTAATGGGGTGGGTCAAGGTCGTGGTCTGGGCCCACATTTAGAAGGGACAATGTTCTGGACCCTAAAATGAGCCTCTTCTTTTTAACACTGCTAAAGGGGAAGTCAAGGTGTCTGCCATCCAGCCTAGTCCACCCCCGCTCCCATTACAGGGTCAAAAGTCCAAGATACAAACAGCCCGAGGCTGGGTGAGGGGCCCAGAAGCTGCTACACACTGTGTTCTCCTTTCCTGAGATGGTGCAGCTCACAGACAGGTCCTGTCCAGACACCCTTGTTCAGACATTTTATTTGAATTTATGACAATGATGCTTAGTGGTCCTGATTGAGATGCCTTATGGAGAAGCACCGCACCCTCCCTGAAGAAAGAACCAGGCTGTGCCGTCTAATAACACGCAGCTGGTTTAGGGAGTGTCCCCCCAGCAGGATCAAAGGGCAATCCAGGAGTCCTGGGGCAGGCTCTGCCCCCAGCGACAAGCCTCAGGGTTGGCAAGCATTTGGGAAAGGTGCCAACCACTTGGTAGACCACTAGGTTCTCTGTTTTCCCTTCCCTTCCCTTTTCAAACCCACAGTTTCCTGTTGGGGAGAGGCTGTAATTAGCCCAGTTCAGGCACCAGATCCCAGCCAGAGGCATAGCTGCTGGGATAACGCTAAGAAAACTGGAAACCAATATTTTTCCAGTGACAAGGATTATGGCATAAACTTTTTCTGAGTTAACATCATATTGAAACCAGATTTGTCAGGTCAGCTGCCAAGGGAAGAAGGTAGGGCTGCACTCCCTGCATTGCCCCGTGCTCATCACTACCCGGGAGGTCAGCCTTTCCCTGCAGCCAGACAGGATGATCCTGGATCCTGGGGAGGCTGAGCTGCACCTCACCGAGTCTTGCACCTCACAGAGTCCCAAACTTCCTGCTTCAGTGTCCTGGGAGATGGGTAAGCAGATGATGGATGGAGCAAATTAAGGAGACAGCAGATGACTCAGGATGATGAGAGAAGGAAGGAAGACGCCAGGTTGGCTAGCTGATGTTCCCCCCTTTCAGTGATTTACAGGAGATGTACCCTAGCTTGGTCATGAAGTTGGTTTGCTTCCACTGTGCGATGCACTCCTCAGAAATTTTGAAGTCAGCCTGGACAAGAAAAACAACAACAAAAGTGATTATAGTGATGGTGGCAAGACTACAAGAAAACAAAGACTCTTCTTATACTACTAGTAGTGTAAATTGACTTAACTTCTCTAAGAGGGCAGTTTGCGAAAAGCTTTCATTTCAAGGTATTTCTATCTTTTGCCTAAGGTAAGTCCATTTTAGGGATTTAGTTGTAGAAAATAATCATGAATAAATACAAAGAACTAGGTACCAGGACATCCATCGTAGTATTCTAAGAGTGAAAAACTGAGAACCACCTCAATGTCTAATAAGGTTTGGGGTTAATTATGATCATTATGATATAATACTGTATATATGTATGTATATGTGTGTGCGTGTGTGTGTGTGTATGGTTCTCCCCTGCCCCTCAGTATTTAAGAAGATGGGGAAATCTTTGAGGCCTAAAGTTAAATTAAAAAAAAAAAAAAAGAAGAAGAGGGACTTCCCTGGTGGTCCGGTGGTAAAGAATCTGCATTCCAGTGCAGGGGATGCAGGTTCGATCTCTGGTCAGGGAACTAAGATCCCACATGCTGCGGGGCAACTAAGCCTGCACGCCACAACTACTGAGCTCACGTGCCTCAACTAGAGCCCGCGTACCGCAAACCATAGAGCCCATGTGCTCTGGAGCCCGTGCCACAACTAGAGAAGAGAAAACCCGCAGGCCACAACTAGAGAGAAGCCCGCACTGCAGCAAAGAGCAACAAGCAGATCCCACATGCCGCAAGGAAGACCCGACACAGCCAAATAAATAAATATTTTTTTAAAAAAGAAAAATAAACATGGTATGACTCAAACTATAAATATATTATCACTATGCATAGAGAAATTCCAGAAGAAAATAATCACTAATGACATTTTTCAGCATCTCTAGGTAGCAGGACTATGGATGTTTTATTTTCATTTTCCCCTACATTTTAGCCACTTCTACAATGAAAATTTATTTTATAGCTAGAAAAAAAAGTGGATTCAAAAAACTGGCCTGGAAAACTAGGAAAGGAGGGAGGGGACAAAGCCATTTGCCACTTGCAGGAGGATGGAGAGGTAGAAACCACTCTAAACACCCTCCAGAAATACTGTCTAGTTGAGGAAACAAGGAACTAACTAGGAAAAGTCACACGTGTAGTGTTAGTTCCACGAGGAGAGTGAATCTCTGCTGCTTTACTCAATGATGTAGCCCAAGCACCTAGAACAGTGCCGGACACATACATTAGGGTGCTGAATGAATGAATGAATTCGGGGCAGGCCATGTGAGTCAATGCCCCTGAAGCAAAGAGAATGAGTGCTCTCAGATCAAGGTGGGCAGGAGGGACCCCGGGAGGGCTCTGATCCTGGCTCCATCATTTCTGGTGACCCTGTGTGGCCTTGGCAGGTATCCTGCCAGATAAATTGGGGATCATCTATCACAGACGGAAGGTCAAATGAGGAAATGTCTCAAGTCCCTGACACAGTGCCTCAAACAGTCTGTCAGTGATCAGTACCTGCGAAGGCCCACAGGCTCCTCAGGCACCTCATTTGACAGGTCTGGAATGAAGAAGGAAGAGGGGCTTAGACGCAGGAAGGCCCAGCTGGGAAAAGGGCAGGTGTGGACTCAGTAACAGAGCAATCTGGAGACAGTCCAGGCAGCCCTGGTATGAGGGAAAAAGTGCAGATTGTTACCTGCAATTTCTCAAAGACTTTCTTCTTGGGCTTAAGCTCTTCATCTGGTTGGCCTTTCTCATAGCCCTTCACAAACACTCGCTCACCAGGAGCAGAGCCGGCAGGAGGGTCCAGAGGCTCAACCTTGCGGCTTGCCCCTTCTCTGGGAAGACACACAGGACAAGATAAGAGTGAGGCTATGGACTGTCTCCAGCTGCCATGGAGGCCAAAGCACTGGGGCCTTTTCCTAGGGGCCTAATGGGATTTAGGGAACCCTCAATGCCAGGGCCCTAGGAGTACTTCACGGCTGTACTACGTCTCTGGATATCACCCGCATTGGGTTAACCAGGGCTGAACTGAAATTCTGTCAGGAGAGACTCCAAAATCTGGGCTTTTAGGGGAGGGAGTATATGACATAACAGCCAGCGAACTGGGTCTGAATCCTGGTTTCACCTCTTACTAGTAGAGAGACCTGAGCATGCACACAGCTTAGAATCTTCAATTCCTGTTTTAATAAAGTTAACTTTAGGTAAAGTGCTTCATCCACGGCTCTTGTACAATAAATAATCCCTCCATGCATCATCTTTTGGGTAGTGTTCTCAGGGCCTCCACCTGGCATGTGGAAGGGCAGCATGTGGGCTAATCCCCCCTCTTCCGGGCCTCCCCAGGCCCTGTGCTCCCCACCCCCCAAGTCCGCACTCACATAGAAGCACACAGAAGCATGCCTTTGGACTCGATTCCTCTCATCTTCTGGGGTTTCAGATTGCACAGCACCACCACCAGCCTGTCCTGCAGTTCCTCCCTGGGCGCAAACTGCACCAGGCCACTCACCACAGTCCGTGGTTCAGCTTCCCCCACATCAATCTTCTCCACATACAGGCTGTCTGCATCCGGGTGCTGCCAGCAAGAGATGTCAGGCTCAGGGAACATCATAATGGAACAGATCATGGGGCCTGGTGAACCCTCTGACTCCACAAACGGGCATCCACTCCTTACTGAGGCCCTGGAGGAACCCTCTTAGCGCTAACTCTCCAGGTCCCAGGCAGCAGACATGAGAAGGGGCCCCAAAGAGGCAGATTTGAGTAACATGAGCCTAATTACTTGTGTTAGAAGTGGAAGGAACCTCTAACAGAGATTAAAATGGCCTGAACTGCCTGGGTGGCCACCATTATGGCCATGTGTGCACCAGATCAATCCCAGTCCTGGGGGGACTGGAAGACAAGAGGCAGCTGCTGGCTTCACCATCCGAAACAAGAGCATCAGCTATTTCAAGGTAGTTTTGGTGGTTAGTCTAATACGGTGAAAAGCAAATCAATACTGGGAGAAAAAAATACTCAGACCACTGGTCCCAGGCCACTGGTTGCATAGCCATCTGCCTCTGGAAAAAGGAAGTCCTCCCTTCACCATTTCCTGGGGTGGGGAGAGGGAAGGACAAAGCAGCTGATCCAAGATAAGGCCTGTGGCTAGTCCAGACAAGCTGGGAGAGACCAGGTGAGTCAATCAGACTGGATTTGGTAGATAAACAAGCTCCTTCTGACTAACATCCCTCCGTATTCTGAGTTCCTGGCTGTGTTTGTTTGAATAAGGTCCAGAGATAGCAAAGGGAAAAAGCCTGATGCCTGGAATTAGATGCCTGGGTTCTGACTCGCAATATGACCTCAGGGATGTTACTTCCCATCCCAGGCCAGGTTTCCTCCAGATGGAAGCAGACAAACCTGACCCCTGTCTGCCTCTCCGGGACGTGGTGGAAAATGAGTACCTTGTCCACACTTATGACTCTCCCCACACGGATATCCAGGCGGGATGGGATGACCTCCTCTGGTTCTGAATTCTTGGCTGGGCCTTTGGCAACTGGCTCTGGAGATGAGAAGAACCCAAGGCTCAGAACTCTCCTCCTTCCCATGACAGGTCAGCTGCTGATCCCCCCAAATGACACTAGCAGGACTTAGTGCAGAATCCCCAGAATCTACCCACTGAATTATACCTTCTTTAAAACAGAGCCAGCAGCCTTTGAGAAGTGACATGCCAGATTTCATCTCTCTCTCCTTCAGGTACTGGGCTGGAGGGGAGGGGAGGGGCCCAGTGTAGCTTTGCCACCATTCGGGCATTTCACATATATTCAGCCATTCCTCCTTTTCTGGCAGGGCCACACAAGACTCTCAATGTTATCTCAGCATCCTTGATGCGTGGCTGGCCAACTAAGAACCA